ACTGCTGTGCCCCTATGCTCTCTAAATTACACAGTATGTGGGGCTTTATGTTAAAAAATATTTTTGTGCCAATTTTAAAACCATAAACTCAGATCTAAAATTCCTTTGTGATCATGGTGCTAAATGTTTAGGCACAGCTATAGGTTGGTAGTCTAATTCGTCTTTGCCCATCATTCTATTTATGGTTTAATTCCCTGCCTTCTGAATAATTATACAGTGCACTTAATTCACACAGCAAGTCCAGAATGCTACAATTTATGGGGAAGAATTGAATGCAGAACATTCTGAATGGTCAAATGAACCTCAAATAAACACACAACTCTCTCTAAATGAATCACAGACTATAAAGAAAAGGGCAGACAGTGACATTTATATATTGGCCCCAACTAATCTACCTTCTACAGCCAAAATTTGACCTTTATTCTTGAAATAGCAACTAGCAGAAATGGCCTGATCGGCCCACAGATTTATATTGCTTGTAAATCCACACAGAAATAGCAGAAACACTAAATTGTTTTGCAAAGTCACCTTGATTCACGATCCTATAAGGATCAACAAAGCGCATCTTTTTATTGCACTTTATTAATGCCGTTTATACTGTATGTGTTACATCCACCTGCAGTGCAGCAGCCAATTGTGTTTATTCACATCTTCACATCCCCTACAAACCTCAAGGCTACTCACAGGGTAGAATGAGAATATGTACGCAGGCTTATCTGACCCAACCGCCTCCCAGCCAGTCGTCTTTTGACGATCACAGGTGACACATGACTGGAGGAGAGGCATTTCCGTCACCATCAGCACTGCGTGCCTGCAATGGCCAGTCAGAGGGCACTGTTTTTGCAGAGATCCAAGAGAGAGCTGGACAATCTGATTGAATCCCACCGTAGCCTCAGTTGAGCACCATCGCTTGGGGAATATCGGTCACACTCCGGACGTGACATAACCCATGCGCGTACCTGCGGTCATAGAGCTATTTTACTAGTTTAGCGTTTTGGGAGCCCCTACAGTTTTCATCTTGACACGGTATCTCATTTTAAAAACAATGGTCTCTTATTATTCTGAACCGTTTATTCAAAATGTGACATTTTCTGTAATTTTGTATAGGTTAGGAGACTTTTAGGAGAAACTTTAGAGACATATGGCGAGCAGAGAACATCTGTTGCATGAGCTGTGAGCTAATGAAGCGTGGTTTGTGAGCACAGGCACAAGAAAGGAAGCCACATTGACTTAGGCTTTGTATTGAGGATGTATTGTTTAAGGGCCAAAGACAACCAGGATGGTAGCTGGAACATCCCAAGAAGCTGCCTCACCTGAAAGTGGGTTGAAGAGTGGCATGGCAATTAGCATTGCTGCCTCACAGCTCTTTGGTCCCGAGTTTGATCCTGGACCTGGACACTTTTGATGTGAATTTTGCATGTGCTTCCCATGTCTTAAAGACATGCCATCCACATCAAACGATGTCTCCACATTGTCTTCTTGTGTGTGTGCCCAGTGACAGACTGCTGTCCAGTGTGTAGTCTTGAAGCCTGGGCTGGCTCTGATCTGTTGTTACCAGGAATAAACAGCTTGGATGGATGGACTTGCATGTCTTGGTTTTATCTTTAAAACTCAATGTCATGGTAAAGGCCATCATTGTGTTATTGTACACATGTGTAGAATTTAATGTTGAGGCTCTGCTGGCAGCTGAAACAGCAGATCTTTAGGACTTAGAGTACTTCAAATACCCAAGTAGGGAGCTCCATCCGGATTATGTGAAATAGAACTATGTAACAGTGAAAAACAGAAATAAAACTCTTGACATCGGAAGAAGATTCAGCTGTCAAAACACTGGGTTTCTTCTTTTTGCCTTTCAGCGTGAATTTTCCTTTACTTCATATATTTACTTTATATATTTTAAAACTTTTTTTATTTATTTTTATTTGTTCCTTAAATACCTTTGTATGACTGAGTACATGGAAGCTTATCCCTGGTGGCCTTCAAAAGCCTCCTAACGTTACAGAAAAACAGCATAATATAAAAAAGTATCAATGTGCCTTTATATCTTTTTCAGGTATAAATAGAAATAAGAAGAAATAGAAATGAGAGGCTTTAT